ATAATCCTGGCCACTGTCAAAGAAAATTCTGGTTTTCAGCTTGGTCAAATAAGTACTTGCTGCAAACTAATACACAGTTTAAATCAAATCAGTCATTCTGAATTTTAATACTTACATTTTCAAAAACACAAAAGCCCACGCACCCTACAGCTCTCATTTTTAGTTTTGAGAATCCAATTCTTTCCTCAACAATGGGGTGGGTAACCACAGAAATTTTGGAATCTATTTTCCTAGAAAACATGAAAACCAGGAGAAAAGCAGCCGTTCTGTCTGGAAACTGCTTCAGTCTTCCTGTGAGCAGGCCGCGGGGCTGGGGAAGACACTGGCTACCCTGGGCACCAAGATAGTAAGACCAATGACTAAAATGTTCTGTCATTTACAGCTTAGGAAGTAAAGTCACTGTAACATCTGCACACAGTCCCTGGAAATCATTTTACTTGGATCTAATAATGCTTTTGCAGACACATTTGCTTCTTAAATTGTACAAAATCTCCCTATACTGTTTGGACATGAGCTTCCCTTCAGTGAGACAGAGCAAAGACTGTATGCACATAGCAACAGAAAAGCAAGTCTTTTCCTTTTTAGACTGACTTTCTCTCATGTAGCCCAAGTCTACTCATCCATCATGTCTTTTAAGAAACGATTTCACTACTGGTATCGTGTTGTGCGGGCAACAGTGTTTTCTATTTCACCTGATTCACAGTATAGATCCTTGTCTCCCCAGCTGACTGTGAGCTCCGTGATTCTGAGGTTATAGACCCTCAATGCTCCTCTCCCTGTAGTACTGAGTCACAGGAGGTGCTTGCTGTGAGCTCAGTACTAGAACAGAAGAGTGCAAAAGCTGTCCTGATTCATTGTTACTCTGCACAGAGCACATGAATGTCATACGGCCAAAAATCAGGCTTTTCAGACTGCTATATACTGACTGGTCACAGAGCTCGAACCCAGCTACCTGAAGGCTAATTCACACAGGGATTAAACTAGGGAAAGACCAAAAGGCCACATATATTTTGCTCCTGCTGTAAGGAATGAGAAGCCATCAAGGCAAAGCCCTCCATGCAGATGGGGGCTGTGTTAGAAAGCACAGCTTGCACATCACAGAACCCCTCAGTCAGGCCACATTGTGTTTGTTAGATGACAAGAAACATAAAGGAAAGGAGTTCTAGAAAGTCTTAATATAATAACTATTTAAAGACATGCAAGTAGGGGGCTAGAGAGTTGGCTTGGTGATTAAGGGGACTGGCTGCTCATCCAGAGGACCTGGATTCAATTACCAGTACCCACAAGGCAGCTGACAACCATCTGTAAGTTCAATTCAACAGGACCTGACGCCCTCTTCTGGCCTCCATGGGTAATGCACATGCATGTTGCACAGACACACATGCAGGTCTACCTATACACATAATACAAAAATAAATTTAAATTTAAAGACTCCTAGCCACTCATTCCAGGGTAGTGAAACTCTGTGATCATAAAAAATTATATATATATAAACATGAATGCACCTCACAGCTTATTTGTAACAGTTTAGAACCAAAAACAATACAAGACATCCTTCAGATGCATGGTTTAAAACACACAAATAAAACATTAATTCTTCATAATGTAAAAAACACATCTACAACAAGGCGAATTGGCTCAAAAGAACATTTGTTTTAATATATTTACAGAGGGAGATGGAACCCCGATCACTTGTTTATGCATGAAAGTCATTTTTTTTTTAAACCTACTATGTGGCAGGCATTAGTCTATGCACAAGGAATGCAACACTTAACCAAGGTTGCAATTCTAGGAACTTATGGAAAGCTCGAGCTCAGTATTTTAGGACCTCAGGGCTGCTCCAAGAACCCTCATTTTATAGGAGAGAAACTCAAGATACAGAGAGAACAGCTAACTTGTTTCAGTCAATTATTGCAGCCATCTGGGATAACGGCAGGAGAAGCCAGTGTTCTGATTCCTTTGTTTAGCATCAAAAATTGCTTTATTTATTAAGCAAGTATGTCTGTGAGTCTTCTACATGCAAGGCAATATGTGAGGCAGCGGCTACACAAAGAATATCAAGATACTGATCCTGCTTTTCTCAAACACTTATCATGTAACAGCAAACCCGTGGACAAGAAGGATGACGGAGCAGTAACAGAAGAAAAGAAGAAAAGAGCAGATTCGTCTCTGTGGAGGACTCCAACATAGTTAGTTCTGTGCTGACAATAACCCCATGAGGACATGAGCCTAGGTCTTATTCCTGGGACGATGGTGAAGAAACTGAAATGCAGAGTAGCTAAAGGAGTCTATTAAAGTGATCTCCAGGGGCAACAGAATACCTAGAAACCAAGCTGTTTACTCCAAGAGACACGTTTCCACATCTGATTGAAAAGGCACATGTTCTTTTCCCGTCAACTCATTCATGACCAATAGCACACATCTGCAGGTCTCTGGCAGGACAGTAACATCCTGAGAAATGTTACCAGGTGAGATTAGTTATTTGATGGCCCCCAAAATAGACACAGTACAAGTCATAACTTTTAGAACATTTTTTTTTTTTTTTTTGGTTTTTCGAGACATGGTTTCTCTGTGTACTTTTGGTGCCTGTCCTAGGGCTCGCTCTGTAGATGAGGCTGGCCTTGAACTCACAGAGATGGACCTGGCTCTGCCTGCTGAGTGCTAGGATTAAAGGTGTGCGCCACCACCACCTGGCTACTTCCAGCATTCTTATTTATAATAAATAAAATAGATGGAAAAGGCCCCGCCATTGGGGACTTTAATATTGTAAGAGTGAGCAAATAAGCATTTCAATAAAGGGCAACATAACTAAATACAGCACAAAAGCAGAAGACTTGCTGCCAAGTTGCATCAGTAAAGGTTTTAGAGAGCAAGTCCAAAGGAGAGCTGAGCCACTTTCCAGTCAATAGAAAGCAGAAGCCTGTATAAGACAAACCCTCAGATTACCAAAATAAAGGCTCTTACCAAAAGTGGTCATCAATTTAAATAATCCATTTCCAACTTCCTCCATGCACTTTTCAATTGCACTCAAACTCATTCTGAAACCACTCACTTGCCCCTTTCCAGGAACATTGTCATTTCCATCTCTCCCGTTCAAAGAGGGTGAATGGACAGTGGGTGCTTCCATCAGTATAACTTTGGCAAAAAGATGAAAACCATGTTCATCACTCACAACCCTATTCTCCCACCTCTTTCAACCTAAATGAAATCACTTTCTCCTGCAGAGTGTAAAACTTATATGTAACATCCAAGAATAACTTCACAACAACTATAAGGAGAATCAATTTACTTATTTTTGCTTTCACAAAGTCTCATATAGCCCAGGCTGGCTCCAAACTACCTAGGTAGCCCAGGGTGACTTTCAACTCTGGAAGCTGCTACACCTATATTCCAAGTACTGGGGTTACCAGGCTTGTACCCTCAGGCTCAGTTCATATCACTGCTAATCATGGTTTAATAAGCAGATTGAATTATGTGAAACCTTAGGACACTTTAGAATTATTACCAAAGTACACAAAACTGAAGAGAAATAGCATCAGTCATTTTATATTACCAAATGGGCAGATTACTTTAAGAAAAGCAAAAAATATAATCATCCTTTCAAACAATTAATGTTTTATTTTAAAACTAAAACTCAGTTTTTAAAACAACATAAAAACTAGAGAGATGGCTCGGCAATTAAAAGCACTTGCAGCTCAATTGTGTGAACCAGAATTCAGATCCCAGAAATCTTATCAGGTGGCTCACAAACACCTGTAACTCCAGCCTCAATGGATCTGATGCCCTCTTTAGTCTCTGTGGGCACTGCACAGACGGATACATACACTCACATAGACAGATGCACACCAATAAATTAAAAAATAAAATATAGTAGTCTAGTATTTTCATCAAATTCTTGGGAAATTCATACTCACACCCAGTTACTTTCCTTTTAAATATTTGGTGAATTTTACGGGATGATAAGTAGCTATTTAAATTCAGAACTACCACACTGTTTCACTGCCAGCATAACATATTTCATGACCCTTTTTTTTGAGACATGTTCACTCTGTAGCCCAGGCTAGCCTCAAAATCATCATATGGTCTCAAATTCAAAATGCTCCTATCTCAGCCACTCTAGCACTGGTGTTACAGGGGTGTGCCATAGTGTCTAGAACACTTTTTTAATTCCTAAGACTTAGTTCCATCACAAGAAAATATATTCTGTAGGCATTAAGCCTAAAACAAATTTCAAGTATAGCAACCTTTTTAGGTGGGAGGGGAAACTGGGCCTGGATTTACATCTAGCTCCTCCAGAGAAAGACCAACAAAATTAGTTAAGGGAGCAACTGAGCACGCAACAACAGTGACATCTAGTGTTAGCAACTGTATGTAACCCAACTAGACTAGCTTTAAATCCTGTAAGTGCTGAACAAGTCTCTACTTAAGAGCTTCTTTTCTTTAGAAACAGATACAACTTGTATATCACATTGAAATCATCCATAATCAAAATGGTTTCCTAGGTTCAACCAAGATATCTTGTTAAGAGAAAATATGTCAGAGTGTAAATTCCAAAAAGCCAAACTGTTTCTTCTAAGTGACTGAGTCTCTAAGTGCTCCACATACAAAGTACACTAAAACGGGAATCAGGGACACGCACTGATGAGCAGAATACAAAGAGGGTTACATTTCTACCTGCACAGCCCAGACAGCGTGCTGGACAGTATTTATACATGTCCAGAAAAGGTAATGGGGCACCTTAGGAATAGCTGGAGAAGGTAACAAGGAAAGACAAAAATCAGTGCTCGCTGTACTGAGGTCAGTCTGCATTTCTGCCCTTCCCACCCTGCCCTGTTTCTGCTGCTGTCTAGGCCTGCCTACTGAGGAGCTGACCTGGCCAAGGACTCGGGGGCATGGAGGAAGTCACTGTAGTGTCTTTCCAGTCTTAGGTCACCATGAGTCTGTGAGTCCAGCCTCCCTCTAGCCGACAGTGCTGTGAAGGTGAGGCTGGAGTTGCTTACCGGTTTGTTTTGGAAAGTTCTTCCTTTCCCCTTTTAACTCCAAAGATTCTTGTGATCAAGGAACTAAAGAGAAGTGTGGATGAATTTCTCACCTAATGGAAAAATAGACATAAAATAAGAGTTAAGAGATAGTCATGGCATGAAACCAACATTAATAATGTATGAACTAGATTTTTTAAACTCATTACCTACGTGGCATGGGAGGGCTAAAGAGAATAAGGTTTGTGTTCATAAAATAAGGCAAATGAGAAAAAAAAAAACTTTCTGAGAATCCACTCTATGACTTCCTCTGAAACTGAACCAGCTGCACAATTCAACCGTATGCATCCAACAGCTTTTTCTAATATTACTAATTGTTTCATCATATATTTGTATGCTTCTAAAAAATGAAGCAGACTTCTTTCCCCACATTCCAAGGATGAACATTCTGAGAAACTTGAACTTCTCCTTTTCCCTGTGAAAAATACTTGTGATATTTAACTTTATAGAATCCATGTAATTAAAACAGCCAAGACATCAGTTAACACTCAAGATGTTGTTTATTAATCTTACAATGCCAGTAACCGACTCAAGTAATTTTAGCTATGAAATTATTTTGTGATAACTGATTAATAAAAATGAAGCAAGACACCCAGTCATGGCAGCACAAGCCTGTAATCCCAGCACTTGGGAGAACAAAGCAGGAGAATCATGAGTCGCAAGCCAGTGAGGACTATTCATCATTGACTGTCTCATGACAGTCTCAAAAAGAAAGAAGGAAAAAAAAATCAGGCTGGAGACATAGCTCAGCAGTTAAAAGGACTGGCTGTTCTTGCAGAGGACCCATGTTTGGTTCCCAGAACCCATGTGATGGCTTACAACCATACACCTTTCCAGTTTTAGGAAATCCAGTGACCTCTTTTGACCTTCTCAGGAACCAGGCATGCATATGGTGCACTTACATGCACACAAGCAAAACACTCACATGGGAAAAACAAAACAAATAAATCTTTTTAATAAGGGAAAATTATTACGAATAAACTATAATTATTTCTCCACGATACTAACAGAGCCTATCTTTACTAAACAAAGCCTGTCAAGATACTTCAGAATTACGCAGAAATTGTGACCATCCTAACTTTATCATTCTTCCTTACATACCTGGGACCTATATGGTAGAAGGAAAAAACTGACTCACACAAGTTATCTTGTAACTGACTGTCACACATGACCCATACATTTATACATGCATGCGCACATGAATGTAATAAGCTTCTAAAAAGAAAATAACAATGACAAATTTAGAAAACAACTTTCTGAAACCGTTGCAGTAATGGTCACAGACTCGAACGCCCAGGAACAGTGACAACAAAGACATCATGCACTGTGTCTAGGGCACTCACTATCCAGCTCAGGCTGACGGGTGGCCACGAGGGAATCTAAGGCCACTATTGCCAGATCTTCTGTTTTTTTCAAGAGAAGCCAGAAACCCTGATTTTTATGTGAAATCTCACTATTTGGAAATGCTGGCAACAAATTCAAGAAAAGGGAGGAATCACCATGGAAGCCAAATAAAACACAGCAGCAGACCACATCTGTCCTACGGCCACCCACCACAACCTCTCCTCTAGAAGCCCAGATCGCCAGTTTATCCACAATACCCTTGAAAATGGACTTTATGGACATATCAGCACCATTCACAGCATAAACCCCCAACTGGACAGAGATCTCCTTATATTCAATCAATAGTCAGCAAATAACAAAGCCCTGTCATGGCCCTGCTGAATGTCTCCAACCAGCAAGCCATCCTTCTTGTCTGTCACCGGTACTGTCTCTGCTCCAGGTCAGATCTGGATTATCTCAGGAGTTGTTAATGTCCTTTTTTAAAAAATTCTAATGGGTGGTTTTGATTTGTATATCCCTAATGACAAATGATATTAAACATCTTTCTATGTGTCTACTGGTCATTTTAATATCTTCTTTAGAGAAAGGTATTCAGATTCACTATGTACCTTTTAAATGGGGAGTCATTTTCTTACTGAGTTTTAAATATTCTTTATTTAAAACCCAGGGCCTTACCCATGCATGCTAGGCAAGTGTTCTGCTATTGGTCCATAGCCCTAGCTGCCCTTTTTGTTGTTGCTGTTTTACAAGACAGGTTCTTGCTATGTAGGTCAAGGCGGGCTGGAACTTTGCTATGCTCTTGCCTTGGCTTCTTCAGTACTGGGATTAGAGGTGTGTACCTGCTAGTTTGGTCATCTGAACAGAGTATCAAACAGGGGCCACATCACTCACTTTCCTACTGCTGCCACAAAACCCGACAAGAGGCAATCAAGGAAGGAAGCGCTTGTTCTGGTGCACAGTTGCATCATGGTACGGAAGGCAGGTGGCCGAGGGGAAACTGGTGATTCACACTGGGTACACAGTCAGGAGGCAGAGCGTGAGTAGGAAGTGGGGCGGGGCAATAACGCTTCAGGACCTGCCCAGTGACCACTTCTTCAAGGGCTCTACCCCTGAGAAGTCTCACAGCCTTCCCAAACAGCGTCACTGGCTGCAGACCAAGTGTTCAAACACATGGGCCTACGGGGACACTTCATATTCACAGCACGGAGAGGGTGGAGAGAAGCAGGGGAAAGAAGGTGGTGGATGGCTTAACCAAATCCAAAGATGCATGGGAAACCCACTCTTTTCGAAGCTAACTTTTAAAATATAGTAATAACTTTTTTTTTTTTTTTTGGTTTTTTTTCGAGACAGGGTTTCTCTGCATAGCTTTGCGCCTTTCCTGGAGCTCACTTGGTAGCCCAGGCTGGCCTCGAACTCACAGAGATTCGCCTGGCTCTGCCTCCCGAGTGCTGGGATTAAAGGCGTGCGCCACCACCGCCCGGCTAGTAATAACTTTTTAAAGGAATGTGAGTAGTTACTCTGCATGGGAAGACAGTGCTTCTTCCAGAATACATGAGTTATTGAGATCTCAGTGCCAGGTATGGGATAGCTTCCTATGTGTTGTTGGTCAGGGAGGTCCCAGAAGCCCCCAAGACAACAAAGGCTAGTGCCATTGTTCTTGGTTGTCCACCAGAACTAGTTGGTAGGACTCTACTGCTAAAGATACAACACATGTTGGATAAAGGAATCCACAGACTCTGAAAGATACTAAGTATCTTAAGATACTAAGAATCGTTCTGCTTCTAGATCAGTATCACTAGTCACTCTGGCAAAGCAAATCAAAACCAGAATGGGAGGGTCTGTAGGTAAGAGCCTTGTTGCTCTTGCAGAGGAGCTGGGTTTGGTTCCCATCTTCCAACATGGTTGCTCACAAGCATGTTAACTCCACTTCTAGGGAATCCAATGCCCTATTCCGACCTCTGCAGACATCAGGCATGTTAGGTGGGACACATAAATATGTGAAGGCAAACACTAATACATATAAAAAATAATAAACAAGTCTGAAGGTTTTTTTCAAAAACCAGACTAGAATCCTATTTCACACTTACTAGGATGGGCTCTCATTAAATAAAAGGAAAATAATAACTGTTGGTGATGATGTAGGGAGACTGGAGCTCGTGTGCATGGCTGATGTGAATGTAAAGGACTCTGCCACTGTAGGAAACAGGTTCCTCAAATGTGAAGCAGAATTACTATGTGAAGACCAAACAAATTGAGAGCAGAGATTCAGAGAACTGGTATACAAGTATTTATTGCTGCATCATTCATAATTAAAAACTTGGAAACAATCTTAGAGCCTATCATCTTATCAATAGAATAAGGAAAAATAGTACACTGGTATACCGGAATACTATTCAACCTGGGAAAGTACTGAAATTCTGATCCATGCTACAACATCCCTGAAACACACCAAATGCAAAGGGACGTCTATTTTATGGTTCTACTCTGTGATGTGTTAGGCCAGACAAATCCACAGAGAGCAAAGCACAGCGGCAGGCACAAGGGCTGAAAGGAGGAAGCTGAGGAGTCAGTGAATGGGCGAAGACCCTTCTGTTGGTGGTGAACGTTCAGAAATATGCAGTAGTGATAACACCACTGTACTTGATGCCACTGTGTTGTGTACACTTCAAAATGGCTCAAGTGGTAAATGAAAAAGAATAATAATGGACCATTTAAAGAGAAGAAGTAACAAGCTCATATATGGTGTTGTCATATATAACAACCTGTATATAGTGGAGAGTCACTACATACAGCAAAGGAAAATGTAAAGCGGTACAGCCCAAAGACTGAGATAAATAGAAGCATACTATTAACAAGTCTTACACTTTATACAGTGTAAGATACACAAATGCCAAAGCAACCACAAAATAAAATCGTTACTAATGATAAATCAACAAAGGAGATAAAAGGGAACCTGCAGTGGTTGAATAAAATGGACCCCATAGGACATAGGGAGTGGCACTATTAGGAGATGTGGTCTTGTTGGAATAGGTGCAGCCTTCTTTGAGGAAGTATGTCACTGTGGGGTCAGGCTTTAAGGTTTCATATGTTCAAGCTATGCTCAGTGTGGCTCATTGTGTCATTCTGCTGCCTGTGGATCAAGATGTAGAACTCTCAGCTCCTTCTCCAGCACCATGTCTGCCTGCGTACGCCATGCTTCCTGCCATGATGATAATGGACTAAACCTCTGATCTGTAAGGCAGCCCCAATTAAATGTTTTCCTTTATAGGAGTTGCTGTGACCATAGTCTCTCTTCACAGCAACAGAAACCTTAGCTAACACAGAACCATAAAATAAAGGAACAAAATGTAGTCTGATCAAAAAACTTATCCCCTGAAAAAATTAGTTGATAAAATGCAGCATATATATTTTGTCATCAGGGAAAGGTCAGCTTATCAAAAACCTATTATTCAAAAACATAATTAACTCAATGGGCACAAATGGCAAGAACACTCACTGCCCAGACAGGTGATGTGAAGCCCAGAATCGCAGCCTTAGCTCCATCAGCAACAAAAGGAATAATGTTTTCTCCCAGACGTGTATCTCTGAACAGGGCTCTGAGGATATTTAAAGCATGAACCTAGAATGAAAAGTTCAAGATCAGTGGTGAATTTAAAACTATGGCAATTCTAAATCTGTGGCCAGTTCAAATGATATAGTACATTTAAGAGAATACACTTATAAACTGAAAACCTAGTAAAGAGTTTATCAAATGGAGTAATACAATTAAAAAAGCTTCATCCACTGAACACATGTAGATTCTGTCCCTAATAAATAGGAACAGCGGGTTCTTTCCAAAGATACATGGAACATTTATTTCATTTTTAAAAATGATCCCAAACCTACCCACAAACAGAATCTAAGTAAGTATCAACTATTGCTATTTTGTAGATTGTGCTCTGATCACAGTGGAATTGGGTAGAAACATCATTTTAATGCTTTTAAAATAAATACATTTTGAAACACTAGGCAAGGGGCTGGTGAGATGACTCAGAGGTTTAAGAGCACCAGCTGTTCTTGAGGACCACCCAGGTTCTGTGCCCACAAGGTGGCCCACAACCATAGGTAACTTCAGTTCCGCAGGATCTGACAGCCTGTTCTGACCTCCCTAGGAACCAAGTACATACATTGTACATACACACACATGCAGTCAAAACATGCATACACATCATGTAATAATTATTAAAATTTTAAGTAATGATCAAATTTTTTAATGTTTATAGTTGAATATTACCCAGGCTTCTGGACATTGACATTGACACTGTAATTGGAAGTGTACTTTAACTGATTCTTAGGAAAAGAAATGTCAGCCGGACAGTGGTGGCGCACACCTTTAATCCCAGCACTCGGGAGGCAGAGCCAGGTGGATCTCTGTGAGTTCGAGGCCAGCCTGGGCTAC